ACGTAGGCAGAGCAAACAATATTGTCCTCATCTCCAGGTGACATGTCAAGTCATCTATTTTCCTGAGGCTCCAAATCAACTTAGACTTTCATCCAAAGTTTTTCCATTCCAGCATTCAAGATGCTGTCATGATGACATTACAACAGTCTGCTCAGCAGCAGCAATATCCTCGGTATTAAGTTATGTGGCTTTAATAGAGTAATAGCCATTCCTGACATGCTGAACAGACCGAGGGTTAAAGGGGACAGGCACCATACAGCGTCCTCCAGCAAGAAAGGTGTGCCAGAGTTCAGAGAACAAAAAGAAACAGGGCAATCAAAGTATCCACACAACCAGCTATTATTTTGATGCAGATATTTCTGCTCTGTACTTTTTCTGGAATCTTAATCCATTTACCTCATAAGAGCAATTCATTGGGATATTGAAAAGAGAATCTCCATATCCAAGGACAAACTGAAGATACCCAAGAAAAATACCTCCGTATGTCACATCCTTTCAAGACTTTAAGAGAGCTGGTGCCTTCCAGAACAGGGAGGGGTAAAACAGTTTCTGAAAGAGTATCATCACTACCTTGTTCATCTTTCATTACACCAGCCAGAAATTTAAAGTTACTGACAGCGTTGTTTGTTTTCCATCACACAGCTACCTCTTCCAGCTAGGCAAGTCATTCTCTTAACCAAGTATCCAAAGCAGGGCCTACACAAAGTTCGGAGAGGCATGGCACTTGGAAAAAGCCCAGGCAGCTGTTCCAAAAGCACCCGAGTCACTGAAGCCCAGCACAAGACATGGACAGCCATCTGAATGGCAGCACTTCAGTGCGTTCCTCTACACAGAAACCCGTACACGGAGACCAGTTGTCTAACCCAAACAACAGATGCAGTTATAAAGTCTGCTTTGCACAGCACAGTATCAGAGTATTCAAATTTGCTTATAGTCTGACAATCAAAGAACAACAACTGCAAAAAAACATACTACAAAACAAGACCACCAGTTTTGGAGTACACCCAATTAGGAGCCATGGGCTAACGATATTGCTTGTGCATACGAACGGTACGGGAAGCCAACCCTGTATTTTGACAAAAGCCACTAGGATAGAAAGGAATCAATCTGCACTAGAAACTAAAGGAAATTCAGCATTAAATAATCTAACTGAATCTAAAAGAAGAGAAAAAAATCTCAGTCTTGATGCAACTACCTTATGCTATTGTTACCTTACGCTAAGGAAGCCTATAAGCAAATCTGAATACACATTGTACAATAAAAATTAATTTGCTACCATATCAGTCATTTTGACAAATGCAAGGTAAGAACTGCGAGAAAGGAAGGAAGGAAAAAACAACCCACGGACTAGATTTGGAAGGAAACGGGAGGGAGGTTGTGGAAACTGAGAGGACAGATGGGGAAGTGGGCCAACAAGCTTTTAGGATAGCCCTGTGATTTCCCACAAAGTAGAGAAGATTAATTGCATACTGTTATCTAAGCTCTACTCAAATTTTAATACATGGTTTAAAGCTATGCATATATTCATTATATCTATGCAAATTAATAAAAACAATATTTACATAGTAACAGTATAGTGTAACCTTTCATTTGAAAAAATTCCAGTGATCTTGATTATCTATTTATTTACAGGTTATTTGCTATTACTCAAATACAGCTGCTGAGCTCAGCACAGAAAAAAAGTAGTATTAAGTGTTGGATTAACTACTACACAGCAACGGGGTAAACACAGAATGAGATTTTAACCAAGGACTTCATATTAAGAAAATGCAGACCCTTAACATTCATCCACATCAGATAAGAGTATTTAAGAGAAAGAATCAAATAAGTGGGAAGGATTTCCTTTCCTTAAAGCCTAAAAGATGCAAGCTGAAGACAGCTATCCGTTCTGCACACACCTTTAATTTTCATCTTTCTAACCCTTGCTGTGCAAGTCTCATTAATTTAAACTCTCTTAATCCCTCTTAAAATTTATGTGATATGTACCCTCAGCTACAAATACATCTCCCTATGTGTAACCTAGCCGTAAGACAGAAGCTAAGATTTTCCTTCTGTAATAAATGCTAAAATTGCTTTAGAATATATTACACACTGGAATGTGTATTCCAGTTCTCACTCCTGCTAAGAAATTGTTTCAAATAAAATTTGAAAAATCAGTAGAGTCAGTTAAGGTTTCAGCTAGGCTCATGTCCCTCCAATGAGCTAGTTACTACTAATAAAATGTGAAATTTAATAAGCAGATTTTTTTTAATTACAAAACAGGTCTAAAATATCTCAGTTATCACTACATAACCTCCTCCAGCTCAGATACCACCACTTCCCCCCACCCCCTTTTCTTCAGACAGTGCAGAAAGGTGGGCAAAGAGAACATGAAGCGAGCTGCCTGTGGCTAGCACTAGTCTTTGTAAAGACTGGGCAGACCAGCTTTCAAACCCTTTACCAGATCATGCAACCTCTTCCAAACACCACTCCTACAAGGAGCAATTGCTCCCCAAGCAGCAGCTCCCTTATTGGTTCTGCAACCACCACCACCAAAACGCGGTCGGTGAAGCACTCCGCTTGTTAGCGAAGGTTGTGCTCCCACACCATCAGCCCTGTGGGCTCCCTGAAGTCCCGAGGGGTACCTGGCCAGCATTTACAGATTATTTGCTGCGTGCAGGTTCTCTGACACGTCTCCACGCCTGTGCTGCGACTGAGGCTTTACCTTGCGTTTCAGTCCATAAACAGAATGTCTCCCGTGTGTCGCTGCTGGCAAGTGAGAAGGCACGAGCCATAACTGAAGCTCTTGCCAGTCTGCACATAAAGATTTCTCTTCTGAATGGATAGTCTCGTGAAAAACACAGCATAAACAATCTAAGCTCTCCCCACACTACCAGCATTTACAGGCTCTTTCCCCTCCTTTGTCAATTATGTAGCAAAGGTGTAAACTCGGTGTAACTACTGTCCC